GTGTGTGTATTTTAAGAAGCGACAATAGGAAATGCCAGAAAATATCGATATTTGGCTTTCCTGGATTGTATTTAAATCGTACGTAAAATGGCCAAACTGGCGTCGGAGAGCAGTGTCAAATGTGCTAGAAGTCTAATAGTCTGAACGCCAATCCGTCTGCCAATATCTGACGTACGGTTCAATACACCATTGAAAAAGGAACATTTGTAATCCCACAAAATTCACATGTTAATAACTCAATTTGTCAGTAATTATTTGTTGGCAACACTTTAAAATTCTTTGGGGGCGATCTCTGCTCTGTGCGACTGTTTAACCGCCAACTGTTAAATGTTTCTTTTGTAAATTTTATTAAGTGTAACAAGTTGTAACCTAACAGTGATGGTCATGTGTTCAAAGCCAAATCCATTCTCACGTTTTTGTGGGATGCAGGCAGGATATTTTAACAATTTGTCTTCTAATGATTAATCAATCGAAACCCTAAATCAATTATGTACTTGACACGAAGAAACTCAAAATGTATTTCTACTTTAATCTTTGAAAAGGAGGATTCTTATTATTATAAAAGAAAAAAGGTACCTATTCTAAAATTAAATTTGGAATGCGTTTGTTATGTAATTTGATCGATTTGCGGTCATTTCATATTATTTATTTATCATCGTTATTGTTAAAAACTGTATGGAGAGATACGGCATGTGAACGCTGTTAATGCGAAAATTCGAGGAACCTTACTGGACGACACACACGGTCAGTTTAACTGATCATTCCAACTGATCAATTCAAACTAAGACTGTTCATATTTTTTAAATATCGGATTTTCGATATAACGATAAATAAACTTATATATAAAACTCCGATATTGATATATTTAATATATCTCCAAAAAAAATATCAAAGTCCTAGTTTGAACTGATCAGTTGAACTGACCGGTTTCGTCCATAAAACTAAGGAATCAAATATTAATGCCTGAAATGGACGTACCGCCAATACACAGTTCATGTCTTAAATCAGTTCCTGCAGCTTAAGACAATAGATAGATCAACACTTGCTCGTCTGATATGCTGGTGGGGGACATATAACTCTACTCATTACAAATTCAAAATATTTTACGATAAGAAAACTACAACTAGCAAAATTACAAATCGTACGCTGACAGCTCTAAAGAAGTCTCGCAATGTGGGAAAATTAAAAGCGATCATCATCCTACACGTATACGTGGTAGAGCCATGCTGCAGATATATTAGTTGTTTAGTTGTAGCACGAATGGGTCGGCTCGACCGGGGAAGGACCACGCTCTCATACACTCACCGGCACGGAAACTTGGCCAAGCGGTTATCTCGCGATAGCAAAAGCTTTAAGTGTTTCTGATGAATGTTTGTTATGCAAGTATGTCAAAAAATGTTTACCCTCAAGTTCAAGAGGGTAATTCATTAAGTTTAAGTGCACCATGACGAATTCTTTAATTTTTAGTTGAATCGGGTCATTTGAGCGACTAAGTTCACATTTTAAATTTGTGTGTTGTGAAAAGTTTACTGTAAGGTTATTCAATTATTGTGATCTTGTGTCTTAATTAAATAACTAAAGGTGCTTTAAAGCCAATAAAAATGCCATTAACACCAGCACAAGTTGCACAAGCAGTAGCATTAATTGACCAAGGGCTGACACAGCGTGAAGTTGCTATTGTGCTTAACGTACCACTTAACGTACTCCTCAATGCAGTATTCACTGAAACGATACCAGGAGACAGGCCGCTACACCCGCAGGCCAGGCAGTGGGGGCGTAAGGTGCACATCGGCCCGGGACGATCGTTTTATTGTTATGGAGATTTTGAGAAACCGCTACCTGACCGCTGTTGAGATACGCCAGCGGCTCCAAATCGCAAGAGGCGTTAATGTTAGTGAGCGTACGGTGAGAAGACGAATGGAGGAAGTGAATTTAAAAGCTCGTAGACCAGCACGAGGTCCAGAACTTCTCAGACAGCACCGAGTAGCCCGACTTCAGTTCGCAAGAGAACATGTCAATTGGACCCACGAGCAATGGGCTAGAGTGTTGTTCACAGATGAGTGTCGAATAGCTTTACGTGCTCCAGACGGTCGAGAACGAGTGTGGAGAAAAAGAGGAGAGAGGTTTCTACCCATTACCACCACCCAAACTGTGAGTTTCCATGGAGGCTCAATAATGGTATGGGGAGGTGTAAGTTCCGACGCACGTACAGAGTTGGTCATCGTCGATAATCGGCTTACAGCTACTCGATACATCGAGGAAGTTCTTCAGGAGCACGTAATGCCTTATTCGGGATTCATTGGACACGACCAATTCCTCCTCATGCACGATAATGCACGCCCGCACGTCGCACATTGTGTAGAGGAATATCTGGAAGAGGTTGGAATACAAAAATTACAGTGGCCAGCTCGTAGCCCGGACTTAAATCCAATTGAGCATGTATGGGGTATGCTCAAAAGAAAGATAAAGTCCAGCTCCAAACCGCCACAAACTCTAAATGAGCTCCGAAATGCAGCGCTGGCCGCTTGGGACAGCATACCGCAAGTTGATGTCAGAAACATCATTCAAAGCATGCCAGATCGAATGCAAGCGGTTATCAGGGCTAGAGGAGGAAACACCCGATATTAAAACTGATAGACAATAAAGAAACAGACTTAATTTTTAACTTTGTAGTGTTTTTAAAGTGACAATGGAAAGATGTTAATTTTAGTGAAAACATGTTATCTTGAAAAGAAAAATTTCGGTGAAGTAAACATTAAATTTCTATGTTCTAAAACCATTAGAGACACTTATTGAATGCATCTACCCTTAATTTACTGTTAAAAAAACGTTTCAGTGCAAATAATCAGCAAATTCACGAGTGGCCAAGTTTCCGTGCCGGTGAGTGTAGAATACCAGCGTGAAATAGTAGCTTAATGCTGCTGTGTTTCGTATGGTGAGTGTAGAGAACCGGAGACCCTTTTTTACTGGAAACGAGGCATTCCATCTCAGTCCTCACGGGTGACAACGCATCTGCATTTTGATTTTTAATGGAGGATGGATGTAGATGTCTATGGGCCGCAGCAACCACTTACCATCAGGTGGACTGTGTGCTCGTTTGTCACCCTATTCTATAAAAAAAAACATCATTTCATAGTTTTGTCACAGTCTAACTACTACTAACAGTCGGTCATCAGGGCGAGACGCGGGATAGTTACCGTTCCCGAGCGGCCGTTAGTCGCTGGGGAAACTATCCGCTCGAGCTGTCCTGTCACTCAAATAAATTATAAGGGTTCACCCTACATGTGCGGTAAATAATTGTGGGCCCTATAACCTATTTTTATTATTTCGGAACACTAATTGTCTGATTAAGTTATTTAATTTGTTTAAACGTGAAATAAAATAAAATCTGTCGTTTATTTTTTTATTACTTCCCATTCTGACAACTCAGCTTTTCCGACAACATCAAACGCGATGAATGACTGTATATTCTTCTTAGGCTGCGGTTTTGTAGTAACAACGAGGCAAAGTTTATTTCTATAATAAAGAAACAAAGACTTTCAAGAGACTGTTATGGATCGTATAGTAAAAGCTTCTTCTCACAGGATTTTAAGCAAGTCTGCTTCTCTGTTCACAAGGCACGAAATAAACTGGCTGTTATTAGCCAACGGTCCTCCGGGCGTCATAACAGCAAAGAGGACTTCGTCCAGTCTATTTGAACCTGTTGGTTTACAAGTTGCGGTCAGTAATTGAGGCACATGGCCTGCTCAAATCATTACTTCGTCATTGAGTCCTCCGTATATTCGTAGCTGAGGTAAAAAAAAGATTTAATTATGGCACAATTGACGTACAAAATTTGAATAAATTTGTCTTTCTACTTTGTACGTCGAAGGAATGCCTAATAAGTAACGAGTAATAACCTTTTTTGGCATTCCTTGAGTTTCAACATGAGTTGTGTGGCGAAACTATAACGCTGATTTTCGGTAATGACCTAAAAGAATTTTTTTTCCACGTCGAACATACAAAGGTTTCCAGATCCAATCAATTGCCTCATTCGCTTACCTCCTAAATACTGACTTCGCGTTGTGAATAAAATAATACTTTTTCAGCAATAGTTGACAGAACGTGTATTATTTATTGATCAAATTACAGAATCGCAGAAGGTAACGCCTGTGAAGTTTTTTGTCTTTGAAGTGTGAATTTGTCTGTGAAGTTAAAAGCCGAGGAGGAAGGCGCGCCATGTGTTCCGGTGCTCTTTATCTTAATACCTGAGGAGATGGGGGAAGAGTAGTCCTCTCTTGAGGAGGGGCCACTATGGGCGGCTGGCGTTCTTACGGCCGCGGATGTGTTCAAAAGCGTTCCCATGGCCCCACCGCGCCTGTCGGTGCGGGTCTGACATAACTCGTCCTTGCCCCCGCGGGACAGGTATGCGAAGGCATTTCCCTATGTAAAAAAGCTACGCTGTCATCTCTTTAATGGCTGATTAAACTGTCAAAAAACTGAAAATAATCTTTTACGATTTCTGACAACTCAACAAATACAATCAGTATGGATTAGATTTCGCCGATGGTGAAAATGTAATTTTACGCTTACCTACCAATGCATAAATATATTTTTTGGAAAGAAACTGACACGATATCCAACGTTATATTTACTGTTATATAATGTCAAACAACTCGCTTATTACCATGTAATAATTGAACTAATAAACTCTTATGTGAGTTATAAATTCACATTCATCTAATAATAGGTTCTTAATAATATCGAACGGCATGTGGCTCGAACAGCTGCCTACTTACAATGTAAATGGACGAGTTATCAGATCAAAGTCGCGCGCGCGTGCCGCAATATTGAATTTATGCAAGTTGCATCCCAATATTTATTATAAGTCCCGCCATGGGATTAGAAACGAATTATTCAAGACATTTGAACAACACTTGTATGTACGCGTAAGAGAATGCGTAATTACTTATTTGTTTTATTTAAATGAAAATTAATCGTTTTTTATTTAATTGTTACAGGCGAGCCCAGAAAATAGTAGAAATGCTTCACCAAGATATGATGCATCGATGGACGATGTAAGCATTATTTTTGTTAATTTACTAATATTATAGGTGTATGTAAGGCATGTTTGCCACATATTATTTATTAGTTAACAATATAACATAATTGCTCAACCCTGAACTAAAATGAGTGATTTTTGAATTTTGTGCCTAGATATCCGAGCTAGAAAACCGAGTGAGACATTTGACTCAGAAATCACGTTGGACGTTGATTCTGCGTCTGATCACTATCCAGTCGCGTCGGATTGTCGTGGCATCTGACTATAAGAGTGAATGGATAGAGATATAAAGTGCACTGTGCTTCCGCACACTTTGGTACAATATAATGCAGTCCTACGCAGATCTAGTCTCCGTTAGACACGTCGCCGTGACCGAAATTTGTTTATTACATCATATTTTCTGTTATTTTTATGTTCAAAAAAATTGTTTACTACATGGTTTATAACGGTTCCTAGTTCTTAAAATAAGTAAATAATTTATGGGAAAAACAAAATAAGGCAACAGTGGTAGATATAAATTGTATCTGTGTTTACTAATATTAACTAATCGCTTTATTTATTGGGTCATTAGTTTGAAGAGGCATGTTCAATATTTTTAATCATAATCGTCGTCACTGAACATAGGTCTCTCTCAAAGTTTAACACTTAGCATGCCACTTTATCAACTGCATCCATCGAATCCCTCTATGCTTCATCAGATCGTCATGGGTTAGCTTCGTACATTGTACTCCGTTATGTTCCATTACGCAATTTTTTTATTTTAATACGAAAATCTTACTCTTAGGCATCGGATGCTGGCTCTCTGTTCCGGGTGACGGGCACGGGCGGCGCGGGAAAGAACGAGCTGGTGGCGCGAGGTGGAAGCGGAGCCGCTTTAGCGCTGTCTCGCGCGCCCGTCGGTGGCAGTGCGAGCCCCGCGCCCGCGCCGTTACCGCAGCCGGCGCCGTCCCCCGCGCCCGCAGCGCTGCCGCCGCCCGCTCTACCCCCGCCGCCCTTCCGCGCGGACACACCACACCGGCCCAACGGCGCGCACATCCCTGCGCTCGACGGCCACGCCGCCACGCAAATACCCTCGCGACCTGTCGGCGCCGCGGGTCCTGACACCCCCGAGCGGCCCGCCAGCAACAACAAACTGCAGCCGGGCGCCCGCGCTGCCGCCGACAGTCCCACGCCGGCCCCACCGGCGCCTACCGCGCCTTCCCCGCTCTTCCCCTCGCACACAGCCTACCAGGCGCACGCGAACACCGCGCTGCCCGACTACCGGCACACGAACCATGAGACGCGGACGGAGGCGAGCGACCCGGCCGCTGCGCCGCTGGACCTGCACGCCCATCACGCGCCGCGGCCGCACGCACCTCCTTCACCCTCCCCGCACCCGCACCCTAGTCTCCCTGGCCGCGTACCGCCGCAATCACACCCCGTCATGCCTGGACACGATGTTCGGAACGCCCCACCCGTCTCGCAACCGCATCCTTCCATTCCTACCTCGTATCCGAACCGCATCGGCAGCATGCCCCAAACCGTGCCGCTGTCCGCTCCCTCCTCTAACTCTACCTGTCTTCCGAATCAAAACGTACCCGGCCGGCCTCACTCTCCGAATGCCCCGACTTCGCGTCCATACCCCGTTTCGGCTATCGGGTCTAGTCATGTAAACTCCAGTCTAAGTTCCAGTGTTCACAGTCATTCGATACCTTATCAAAGTCAAACTAGTTTACAGAAACATTCTGTTCAATCGGTTTACGCGAATCGACCCTCGCATCTTTCGACGTTTAGCGTATCTAATCATATCTCCTCCAATCACATACAATCTTCTACAGCTAACCAACAGACGCCTACGCATTTCAGCCATTCAATCAACAGTCATTCCATTATGAGTCATCAAAACAATATTCCCTTGAGCAATTCCAATCCGTTAGCGACTTCCACTCCGAATCACACCAGCTCACCGCTCTCTCTGGCTACCACCACAGCCAGTTCAGTATCGAGTTACATGGGCTTGAAACACCCGGGTCTCAATTTACCGCCTCACTCAACGTCGCTTGGGCCACCAGTCTCAATGATGCAGTCCGTGAATCACGTGGATGTTCCAACGACGACTAGTGCGCCAGCAACAGTGGCTTCCTCGAATAGTAACAATCATCCATTGGCGCCACCGATTATTGATTCAAGGCCAATGGCAGTATCGTCAAGTGAACTACCGACGAGAAGCGAAGGCCCAATCATCAGCAGTTCACTCGCCTCCAATGGCTTCCCACCACCGGCTGTTTACTCTGGGAGCTCATACCCGCCACTCTACGCGCCTTACGCTACCACATTACAACATAGTCCCTATTTACCACCTGCAGCTGCATCACCTAGAAACACTACCGACACGGTGAGAATCTTTCGAAATTTAAGTTATAATATGTTTTTTAACTATTTTACCTTAAATTAGTTAAATTAACTTAATAAATACTGAATTAAATATAGTGCTATTTGTGTATACATACTGCTAATACGAGGGTGGATTGAAAAGTACTCGGCCTAACACAGATCCATTCAATTCTAAAAATCAAATCTACCCACATTATTTAGTTCAGTTCAGACTAGTTCATTGTGTGAAGTTCGAAACGTGTGCGATAATTAGTTGTGATTTTATAAATTTATTAACAAATTAATCGGACATAATTTCCGCGAATGGAGCAAATCGAGCAGCGTGCCGTCATTAAGTACCTCCATAAGAAGGGGCTATCATCAAAAGCCATCCATGATGACATGGTCAGTACATTAGGCGATTGTGCTCTGTCATATTCATCCGTCAAAAAATGGATAGCAGAATTTAAGCGTGGTAGAGAGAGTGTGAAAGATGAACCCCGCTCTGGAAGGCCTTCGACGTCAACTACTGACGAAAATATTAAAAAAGTACTTGATTTAATAATGGGAGATCGCAGATTAAAAATTAGAGAGATAGCCGAGATTATAGGCATCTCTTATGAATGAACTCAAAACATCATTGTCAACGAGTTGGGTTTCCACAAGGTGTCTGCGAGGTGGGTTCCGCGACTGCTTTCAGTTGAACAAAAAAGGAGGCGATTGACTATTTCACGCGACTGTTTGGAGTTATTTGAAGCCGATGCAGATGATTTTTTGAATCGTTTTGTTACTATGGACGAAACATGGGTTCATTACTGTACACCGGAAACAAAACAACAATCAAAACAGTGGAGAAGACCTGGTTCACCACCCCCTAAAAAAGGCTAAGTCGATTTTGTCGGCAAATAAGGTGATGGCTTCAGTATTCTGGGACTCGAAAGGTGTGATTATGATTGATTATCTTGAAAGGGGTTAGACTATAAACTCTGATTACTACTGCACCTTACTACGTCGTTTACGAGAGGAAATAAAAGAAAAACGTCGAGGAATGCTCAGAAGAAAAGTCCTGTTTCATCAAGATAACGCCCGTGTTCAGACGTCAGTACAGTCAATGGCTGAAATTCACAACTGTGGCTTTGAACTGTTACCACATCCGCCGTATTCACCTGATCTGGCACCATCAGACTTTTTTCTGTTCCCTAACCTAAAAAAGCACTTGGGAGGTCAAAGATTTTCGACAAACCACGAGGTCAAAGCAGCTGTAGACGCATATTTTGACTCTAAGGAAGAATCACTTTTTTTCAACGGTCTAAATGCCTGGAAGGGGAGGTGGCAAAAGTGTATTGAACTTGATGGTGATTATGTAGAAAAATAAAAATATAACTGATTTAGTATGTGTTTATTTTCTTGGTTAGGCCGAGTACTTTTCAATCCACCCTCGTATATTAATAATCTTGTAATGGTCTAGTTAGGGTATTTTTAAATATAATTAAAGGAAAATCCCCTGCCTTAGGCATTTAATTTATTTTAGAATTTAATATTAAAATTTTAATAAACGAGCTAACAGTCACCCTTATGGTAAGTGTCTATTGTTGTCTAAAAACACCTGCAACTAATTTCAAACAAAGCATCTTCGCATAGAACTAAGGTGGAATCTTGAACATAAGAGTGGATTGGGTATTCCGCTGCTTTACAGCAGAAATAAGTAATAGGGTGATACTTAAAATTTGTAGTAGTATGGTTCAAGTATTACTTATACTTAATATATTTGGCAGACATCTTATTAAGAATCTTCCTACTACAGAGAACAAGTCTGTCAGCGTCTCCGTTGGTGGCGCCGAAGACCCCAAAGGGAGTGCGACCGCACACGCCGGGCTCGCTGGGCGCGGCTGGGGCTCACGCGCCGCTGTCCTACTCACCGCGCGGTCACAGCCCCGGGAGGGAGCGAGAGAGCTATAGGTGCGTACTCTTGTACTGCTGTAATAGCTATACATCTATCTATGCCTATAAATAAAATTGAAGTGCCTGTCTGTAATAATAACGAAATAACGGCCTTTTATTCAGCTGAGGGGATAAATTTGCATACCATAAAGATATGTATTATTTATATATTTTTAAAATGTTTGTTTCTATCTGTCTGTTCGGGTTTATCTTCAGAATGTATTTGGACGAATGACATATTCATTACTCTGTTTAGTACATAAAGACATATCCATGTAAGTAGTAATTGGGAAAAACCTTAAATATTAATAATGAGTTCATATTCTTATAGCATACTTTTTTGATTTCGATATATAATTGACCGTCTACGGGATGGGTCAAATATATAGTTAAGAGTTACAAGAATGCATCATGGACAGTTTCCCGCTCTCGCGCTTCGGCGGTGGCGATCAAACGGACGAACAAGCCTCTTATTAACATCTGTCTCTCTTTCGTCCGCACTAAGAAGTCCACTCACTCCCTCACACGTGGCCACATTGCAGGCAAACTCCCACTTTTATAATTATACACCTTACAATTGTTTAAACCATTTATATACACTGTATAAATGGTTAAACCAATTGTATGAAACTTCATGAAAAAAAAAACGAGTGCAACGCCTGGGGTGATCTGGTCTATATCATATAAATTAAACTTAGGAGATTTTTTTAATAATCGAAGAATTGATAAATTAAAATTTATCTTAAATTTAAATTACGCCATATTAATATTTCCTACCCAGACGAAGCCAGGGCGGATCGATGGTTCTAAAATAAAGGGTAAGAAGAGATTTCGTTCTACAATGTCAAATTATATATCTCTGTATGTTGTGCATCCTTTTGGCCCAAGGACAAGGCTCTGACTACCTACAGATGGCCGTACAGACGTACGTGAGAGAGACTCGAATCTGCACTGCCCAATCTGCCTGTTCTGTGTGATGTGTAATAAATTAACTCTTTAAGAAATGTTTGTCTGTTGTTGTTGTTTCAAGAATCCACCATGTCTTTATCAGACTGGATGAATCTTTGGAATCAAAGAAGTACTCAGGAGGTGCTTTTAGAAGCAATCTTGTAATCACTGCCATTAAATCTCCAATTTGTTTCAAGAATGCACCATATTCTTGAAACAAATTGGGGATTTAATGGCAGTGATTACAAGATTGCTTCTAAAAGTACTTCCTGGGTACTTCTTTGATTCCAAAGATTCATCCAGTGTGATAAAGACATGGTGCATTCTTGAAACAAATTGGGGATTTAATGGCAGTGATTACAAGATTGCTTCTAAAAGCACCTCCTGATTACTTCTTTGATTCCAAAGATTCATCCAGTCTGATAAAGACATGGTGGATTCTTGAAACAAATTGGGGATTTAATGGCAGTGATTACAAGATTGCTTCTAAAAGTACTTCTTGGGTACTTCTTTGATTCCAAAGATTCATCCAGTGTGATATTGACGGTTTAACCCTTCAATCCCCATGCAGTCGCATGCGACCGCACCCACCCACAGCACTTTAAACCATTAAAGCTTATAATTAGAGACTACTTTTCTATGAAGAAGTTTGGCATTATAAAATTATACAAAATTCTCTATCCTGTGGTCTAAACAAAAATCAGGTTTTACTTCATTACAAAAAGCTTATATCGGCAGCGTGAAAATCACTATTACTTCTATATATTACTCGAAACAAAAACATCCACACGAAAATGGCGTACGTAATGAACGTAGATTATAAATATATTACCATAGAGTAACTGACTTTTTATTGCACTAGAGGATAGAAAATTTCATATTAAGACTATAATGCCAAACTGCTTCCTAATAAAGTAGTCTCTAACCATAAGTATTCATGGGTTAAAGTGCTGTGGGTGACTACAGTAACTGTTATTTCCCAACAGAATTACTGGTAGCTTGTTTGTCACTTATTAACCAAAAAAATGTATCTATGGAGACTTTCTTACATGTATTTTGGACCAATGAATGCATTGGTAGATTTATGTGGTTATTTCCAGCAGCAACATCAGCAGTTTGTCACGAAGTACACCAGCGTCGGCGGCGAGTGCGCCAGTATCAGCGTCAACGCTGACAGCGCCGCTTGCTGCTCCACTCGCCGCTCCTTTAGCAGCACCGCTCGCCGCTCCGCTCGCTGCCCCGCTCGCTGCCCCACTCGCCGCTCCACTCGCTGCACCACTCGCTGCACCATTACCGACACCGTTGGCAGCTCCACTCACGGTCAATAAAATTAGTTAAAGTATTTACTTAACAGTTCTACAAAGTTCGACTATGTTGAAAGAAGAATAACTATATCCAATAAGAGAACCCTTTGTACTAGATAACAGGCATTCCATACTAGTCCTCAGGGATGACAAGGCCATCTTCATTCTTATTTGTAATTGAGGATAGATATAGATGTCTATGGGCCAAAACATCCTCTTACCATCATGTGGACCATGAAGGTTAGAGAACAGGAAAACTATCACTACGTACTAAAGCATAGCCCGCCTGTCCTTGAAAATTGTAGAATACATAGCGGTACTGACGTCGCTGATTAGTGACTTCGAAGTTAGCTGTTTATGAGTATAATTGCCGACATAAGTCGTGAGCACACTTTTTATTGGTCAATACGACGTTGACCACGCAGACGTTCAACGTAATTGGTTCATCAGTCGATTCTCGTCGTCTATTGGTTTCGAATGTATCATTCGGCTTCCGCACACTTCAGAGCAATAATTTCAGTGATAACTTTTTTAATTAGCTTATTTTCGTTAATTGTTTTTGTTACCTCGTTGTTAATTGTTGTTTGTGTATTCCTTGTTATTAATTGTTTTTGTTATTTCTTGTTTTTAATTGTTTTTGTTGTTATAATTTGAGTATTCAGATTTTGGTCTAAATATGCAGAGAAGGAAGAATTCGGTGTCAAATAGGCAATCCCGACAAATGGTCTATTCAGTGTTTAGTTACATGAAATAATTAGGTACTGCGAAAAATATCATAGACGTATATAAACAGACTGCTGAGGCGTGTCTCAGTAGCTACTGTACGGCGCACCGCAACACCAGATTTTATGGAAGGCATATCAACTCTTCCTTCTTCCTAATAAAATAATCAATTCTAACCACCAGGTATACATTAAATACTTTATAGTAGATAATAAAGTAACGGACACGAATATCAATTACAAATTGAAATAATAAAGGTGCCCAATAATTTTGCCCGACAGTGTACACCTACCTCTCACCACAGTTTGTCTGTGCTCACGACTCGTGTCGGCAACTATACAAGTAGGTGAAGTTAGTTGAATAATGTACAAATTTTTATTTCATTTTTAATGAGAAAATTTTCATGCTCCATAATTATGTAATTTTTGACAAAAAGAAACAAAAAAAAAATGGAGAAATATTTTATTGTGCGTAGATGTGCAAGTGGTTTAGCATCTGATCGGGAAAATAGACTCAAAATGACTTATTGACCGAACTTAGTGATCGCAGCGCCTCACTTATGTTGTCCATATTTCTGGGAGACTATTTTCTACGGTGATCGTTCTCCTGTAACCTTCATGATGTGGACTGTGAGCGTGTTTGTAACTCTTATACTGTATAAAAGAAGTGAATAAGTCATTCCTTATTGAAACATAATAATGTTAGAGTTAAATCGTATGTAGCTGTATTTAGAACTCACCATTATTCCATTTTTATAGCAGCATAAAAAATCTGCTTTATCAGTACAATATATGGTAATTGAAATTGACCCCCACTTCAAATTTTTAAGACCTATATGTAATATATCCACTAGAAAATGCCAAACCTAAAACTGGTGATGGCGAGCTTCGTCGTCATATTTAATTTACGTATATTGTGTATACTTGCAGTCATCCCTGGGCGGGCTGGGCAGCGGATTGAGCAGCGGACTGAGCAGTGGACTGAGCAGCGGTCTTGGAGCAGGGCTCACCGCACCATTGGCTGCGCCCACGCCTACGCCGGCCGCGCCGCCTGCGCACCTCACTCACTCACTCGCGCCCGTGCCCACTGTGCCCAGCATCAGCTCCAGTGCCAAGCCGCCCGCGCACTGGGGGGTAACGTGAGTACACGCAAGCAATGACTCGCCTCTCACTTTTCTTTATTCTCTCTATCTACTTTCTATTACTCTATTCATTTTATCTGTTACTCTATGTAAATAGACCAGGAAGTAACAGAAGATTGTTACAATATATTTAAAACAGAAATTTAATGTTGCAAGTTCATATTAATTTTTTCTTATTATGATGGTATTTATATACTGCAGCATCTCCAGCGTGAACAACCCAGATGTTTACAATAAACTTTTATGAAACATATAAATCATAAAACAACGCTCAAAGCAGAGTTGTTTTATGTTTATGTTATATGTTTATGTTATATGTTTGCGGGTATTGAGTGGAGGAATATGTTTATATTTTCAATGTTTGGACTTGTATTCGAAAAATTAATAGCAAAACGAAGAAAAAAACGTCTGTAAAAGACCAAGAAAACTGTTATCATCATCATTACATCTGGTCACATGCCTACTACTTAATATAAGCCTGTCCCAAGGAATGCTTAAAGGACAAAACACACATGAAAGGGGGAAACAACACGCGGAATGCTACTCTAGAACTTTTATTCCTACCAGTTTTCAGTTTGTTATGCTATATGGCCAGTCCATTGCCATTTTATAATCTATACTAAATAATATTGTTCTTTTCTTATTAAGATTCAGTGCTATTTAGATCTAAAGTACAAGGGACGTCTATAAAGCGATACAATGCTTTAATGGAAATATTTGATTTTTCCAGCAGGCCAACTGCAGCGGACCGCACAGCTTTTCCACCAGCGCCGCCGTTATTCGGGGCACCGCTTGCGCCGCCAAATCCTAATCCGTTTTCTGCTGAATCACTTTTTCAGTCCAGTAAGTAATTTTATTATTACCAGAAAAATCTTATTGTATTTATCTATTATATTATATTTATTTTTATACACTTGTCGCTAAAAGTTATAATAAATAAAGTAAATTATTACATTACCTATATATTAAATGAATTAATACGTTTTTTCGCAAAAAAGTGTCCTATGGGTTTTTACCATAATCGATAGTTATTTTTTATTTTGATAATGTAATAATGCAATTGTATGTTTGTAAAAAACTAAAAAACTGCGCGTGAAACGGGATATTTTACATACAAATGTAATGAGACACTGAAACCATAAAATTTTACAAAATTTACGATTTTACTGTGAAGATCGATATTTACATTTTTTGACATTTTATAAAATGTAGACCTTACTTTAATATGGGGTGTTTCCTCCTCTTGCTTTTATCACCGCCTGCATACAACTATTAAGGGAACGGATCAGCTCTTTTATGTCTTATTGGGGTGTCTGTTCCCATTCTTCTGTTAAGGCGGCTTCCGGTTGATCCAATGTCTTGGGAACTAAATTTCGGGCTCTAACCTTTCTTTTTATCTGGTCCCAGAGATGCTGGATGGGATTTAAGTCCGGACTATTTGTTGCCCAATGCATAACTGGAATTCCTGAAGATATCCAGTTACAATTCTAGCGACATGCGGTCTTGCGCATGAGTTGAAAATTGTACCCAATATACCCAGCGTAAGGCATCACATGAGGTTGCAAAATGTCCATAATGTAACTTTCAGCATTAACCGCACGATTTCGAAAGAAAACCAACTCAGTATGTACATCTGGTTAAAGAGCCACCCCAAAACATTGTAGAGCCTTCACCAAACCAGACTGTTTCTCTTATGTAACACTGAGCATAACACTCTCCTGGTCTTTGCATTACGACGTCCATCAGAGCCTACAAGGGTCATTCGGCTTTCATCGCTGAAGATAACTGTCTCCCATTGACCAAGATTCCATTGCATGTGTTGCCTAGAAAATTCTAACATCGCTTGCCGATGAGATGCAGTGATTTTTGGTCCCGTCGCTAGCTTGTGTAGTGGCAGGTTTTGCTCCCGAAGTCTTCTTCTCACCGTATTCTCACTTACAGACACTCCACGAGTTTCCCTCAGCCTACCCTGAACATGAACAGCAGAAAAATGCCAATTTCGTAAAGAAGTCAGGGCAATATAACGGTCATCCTTCGGGTTTGTGAGACATCCTCTTCCAGACCCTGATCTCCGGCGGTACTCTCCCGTTTCTAAGTATCGTTTATAATCTCTATGCACTGCTGATCTACTCAAATTTAATCTCCTTGCCACATTTCACTAACTTACCCCTTCACGAACGAGAGATACCACTTGAACGGCTTCTGCTTCAGTGGCATCCATATTTTATGGTTAAAAGTAACAATGGGTGCGTTTGGCAGAAAAAAGCGCTTGCAAGCGCTTGTAAGCAAAATGGCGAAACTAAACAGTTTTCGGCCAGGACACGTTTGCTAAATTCAGTAGCGCTGACACAATCCGCCATTTTGCTTATTTAATTTGTTTGTTTTGAAGTAGAGTTTATGAGTTGTTTTGTGCAATATTAGTTTTAAGTAATATAATGACGTGAATAGACATACATGTTATTAAAAATTAATGATTGGTAAGTTTTTAATATGAATACTTTACAAACATATATTTAAAACAGGTTAGGTTCACAATCAACAATATGTCTGCTCTAACAATGAATTAAAGGATTAAGTCACTACGATGCACAGAACCAAGAATATTATGCGTCAAAAGTCCGAAATAAACTAACATTGCATAAATCAACAATTTTTATTAATGCCCTTAAAATGTTACAAATACCCACAACAGCAGATGTATTTCCTCTAAAACAATGTCAAGTAGGTACTCAGATGTTAATTTATAACCCATAAGCAAATACATACAAATATGTCAATGCATACTTAAGATAACAACTTTGTTACTAAAATTTAAAGGGTGGGTCGATTTTTTTTGGAGGCCAGTGTATTTTAATTCATTTTATTTTAACGTTAATTTTTCAGTTATGTTAAATGCAGTTATGTGCATTATTGAAGCTTGTGCATTATTTTTCAAGTGTTACAATTGGGCGGACTTAAACTAGTGACCTCTACATGCGAGTATAACAATATTACATAACTGATTTGGGTATTTATCCGTCTTAATCCACGACATGTTAAAATGCAGAATTTTGAAGAAAGTACCCTGATTTTAACAATAGGCTCCCATTCTAATTTTTACAATTACTGTACATACCCTTCATGCTGCCCGGTAAATAGCTCCTCAAATGCACCAACACAGGTGTTATTTCTAATCAGACAGTAATTTGATTTGATCTTTATATGTGATCCTTAATATAGTATACTTGATGTAAGCCTGTTACTGACTAATCCCTTATGTAAATTGGTCTGATAAGTAACAAATGATTGCAGGTCCAGGAGCGGACCTGCTGCGTCGCGAGTTAGACAACCGGTTTCTGGCGGCGGCGGGTGCAGCTGGTGCGGTAGGCGTGGGCTCGGTGGGCGTGCGGACGGAGCTGCACCACCACCAGCACCAGCACACGCACGTGCACCAGCACCCGCCGCACGCCGCGCACGCGCCGCCCGCGCCGCACGCGCCGCACGCGCCCCACCACCCCCACCATCCCCACCAACTGCTCGTGCCGCACTCGCCGCTGGTCAGTACTTACACCTATATTTAAACACACCAAAGAACCTGCTCCACCTAGGTTGTTTAATGAAACTAATAAGAGAAGTCTATCAGCATCTATACAAAGTTTCATGTGTCTAAACCATTCTTCGAAACATTTTTTCTAGTCTGCCTCGAACACCCTGTGGGTTGTAATTCCAACACTTGTGAATATTTGATGTTAAGGCTTGCTAGGATATTAGTATAATAAGACAACTGCTTGATATGAATGCCTGTGATGCACTGATAGCTGAGTATTAGTGCATAAAAGTGCTGTGCTAGTAAGAGTGCTAAGTTAACTAATTTAAATACATATTATGTAGGCAATTACGAAATATGTACATCATCTCTCAAAGTTAATCTAAAAATTAGTCAACCATCCTGAAAATTCTTATACCGATGGTAGAAATTTGTCTCAAAAGGCATTTATCCACAAATACCATTCAAAGTCTATCAAACGGTTCGTCTGTAAAAATAAAAGATAAATTTTTCAATGAGATATGATATTTCAATTGCGTTTGTATAAAAATGTGGAGCGAAATTTGAAATTGCAACATTCGTATTTTTCCTTGTAAGGCCTCGGTCACACAGCGCATACTTGCTACGATTAGGCTATTATTCATAATAAATCATAAATGGCCATTGTCTTATACAAAATAACTTTTTTCGCATAGCTTTCTTTGCGGCAGCCGTATTTACTATTGTTACTATCCCATAAGTTTTTAGGGTTATCTTACTTGGAATGGGTAGTATGTTATTACAAAAATTGTGAGAGTCAGTCCTAAGAAATCAGCTAAAATGAATGACCGAAATCATCATCATTACAGCCTATCAAAGACCACTACTGGCCACTACACCAGGCCTCCCGCACAGATTGCCTCATAGAGGTAATATTTGCCATAGTCCCTACGCTTGAGTGGGTTGGTCACTGAGGTTTTTTATTATTTAGAGTAACAACACTTATATATATAACAATCAGGATAATGATGCTGCCTATCTCCACTTACATTTTTTGGCTTTGTGTTACACACTAACTAATAAATGTATGTATCATTATTTAAAAAATTTATAGATTTTATTTTTAAAATAATGTCTTGGTTTACTCAATGTTGTACTAATTTCATTATAATAGATTGAAATTAATGATAAACTTTATTTTACATACTGAGTAGATTATTAAAATTATTTCCATTTTAAACTATTACATATTATTTCTTATATTTGTAAAACTAAATGGGTATATATTTTGTATACATTATTGTCATACCAATATCGTCTCTCTATTGAAACAGGAGTTGAGCAGCAACACCTTCCTGACAACAACTCAAATTAATATGAAACTGCGGTTACCAAGCTATTTGGTTGGTATCTGTTTCTGGTTGGAATTTATATGGGACCACCATAAAGATAGTATATCCTTCAGATAAAACGGCCGCCAAATTTTCTGTGCAGATATTGTGTTACATACATTAAATAATAACTTACACAAGAAGGTTAGTTTCATAAAATTGTTTTTGTTTTTCAGTACAAAGATATGGGGAAAATGACATCACTTTACCGGACAGGCCTCGGTCTTGGTTATCCATACTCCTCAAGTTTGTTACATCCTACTGCGCCTTACGTACCTCCAGCACCACTCTCTGCTTATGCACCTAAGGTAGGAATGGTAAATTATAATTATATTTTTGTTACTCAAATGTAATGTCCCTTTCATTCCTATATAATATTAATGCTTTTAAGTAGAGATACTAGACCTGGTTTCACTCCATAATATTTTTATGTATATATCATATATTATATTTGATATACTTACATATTTTTTTACATAAATTGCACACAATTACTTGTATTATTAGATTCTTTTTGCATTTTAATCTATGTAATTAATACAAAATGTAAGCAGTAAAATGTTACTATTTAACTATTTTTTTATTCAATTCCTATTTTGAGACAACATTTATTTAAATGTGTTATTTTATAAAATAATTAATACTTTTAAATGATCATATTTCAAAATCACTATTCTCTCCAAGTGTTACAGCTATGTTATAAAATACCTGAGTGACCTAGTTTTGCTCAACTTAAGCAAAAAAATAAAAATAATTCCACGAATGAAACTTACCTAGAAAAACTTATAAAGTAAAACTACGATAAGCGACAGTAGCCTAATACAGAGCGCGGACCGTGAACTCAAAAAGGTCGTGGGTTCGAATCTACCATTCGACTACTGGCGTAAACCACTCGTAACAAGCAATTTAAGCTTACCACGAGTGGTTAAGGGGAATATTAGTAATGTTTATAGCATTGTTAATATTCTTTAAAAAAAAAACATTATCTAAACACAAATTGCTTTTAGTGAGCCCACTGTTCAGAGAGTAATATTATATTGAATTGACCATTTCAAAATATAGTTACCTAAGAATAATATTGCGATTTTTTAAAAAATTTGTGTCAATTCTATGACTATTTATTTTTTGTGCTATAGTTCATAATATCTAGTGATAATTTTTGCCATTTTACTATAATTTTAATGGGCATATGAAAATGTCAATATTAAAGGCTTAAAGACTTTGATTTAATTTAATTGACTGATTTTAATTTGATGAAGGAATTGTTGCATCTATAATGAATGTGGTCAAATTTATCTGTTTTTCTTTTCTTTTAAGTTTTAGAATTTTGTTCTTGTACACACTGTAGTCACTTAACTAGTTTTATATTATCATGTATTATTAGATTTCTGATTTGTAATATTTTCTTTGTACTCTTTTCGTAATTTTAATTAGTTTTAATTGTTAATATTGAATATTTAGGTATAAATTTAATGGGTATTAATCAATTTCTAATAGCTCTTAAAGCTTCACTATTACATCTATATACCTCAAGCTTAGTGCTTGCGATTTAATTTGCTCTATCATTAACACTGCATCGCATCATTTTAACAGCCCGTAGTGTCGGCCGCAAGTGACTCCGCCACTAAACCACCACCACGTCCCGCTGTCGCGGTAGGTTTCTTCCTCTTTAGCAATTACTTTCACCCTGCATGCTTGTGGAAATTTCGTATTTATTGAATTTAGTATTTTCGCAACAAATTTTTTTAACTGTAATGTAATTTTCTTTTTTTAGAAAACTGGCAAATGGAACGCGATGCACGTTCGCATCGCGTGGGAGATCTACAATCATCAACAGAAAGAGAAGTCGGGCGGCGGCGGCGGCGGTGCGCTGTCGGGCGGTGACAAGGACAAGCTGCGAGCGTTTCCCGCGCCCGCGCCGCCGCCGCCCACCTACCGCTCGCCCTACGAGCTGCCGCCCGCACCCTACCTGCCGCACCACCCGCACCTAGGTAGCAGCCGACACGGCGCCCGCTCCTCCTTCGCGCCGCTCGCCCTCGCCACTCACAGAGATTTGGGCGTTTCAGGGGTGTCGCCGTTCGCGCGGTACGGCGCCGGCGCCTATCCGGGAGCGCCGACCGCGTTCGGCCTCTCGCCGTACGGCCGCGACCTGGCACTGTCCTCGTCGCTGCACGGAGTGCACCACGGGCCGCCGCTGGGCGCGCTGCACGACGCGTGGCGCGGCGTGCGCCCGCCCGTGTCGGCCGCCGCCGAGGTGCGCCGCGAGCACGAGGAGCGGGAGCGCGCGCGCCGCGAGCGCGAGGAGCGCGAGAGGCGAGAGCGCGACGAGCGCGAGCGACGCAAGGCGCGCGAGCGGGAGATGGAGCGCGCCCGCACGCGCTCACCGCTGCGCAACGGCGTGCCGGAGCCGGGCAAGGACGAGCGCAAGGAGCCCTCGCGCCCGCCGCCCGCGCTTCCCACCTACCCGCCGCCGCCGCCCTGGGACCCATACCGCTCCTTCGACCCGTTGCAGCACATGAGATTCGCGCCGCTCGTGGAGGCCGCCATCCGCGCCGAGGAAGACCGCGCGAAGATGCTTAGTGCGTACGCGCACCACCAACAGCTGAAGTCGGGCCCGCTGCTGCACCGCGGGCTGCATGGCGCGCACGCGGCACACGCGCACGCAGCGCATGGCGGGCACGCGTCGCACGGCGCGCTGCCGCTGGGCGCGCACGGCCCGCTGGCGCCGCTCGCGCCGCTCGCGCCGCCGCTGGCGCCACTGGCCCCGCTCGACCTGCTCAAGAAGGAGGAGCCGCGATGATAGCGACCCGCCCACGCCGCAACTGATGTAAATACAGTAGCGTGAACGATACAGCCCAAGTGAGAGTACGACTTATTTAATGTAATATCGTTTCACATTGTCGGTTTAGAGAATTATTTATTGTAATGACGTCGCTTGCAAAACGACGGTCGCTAGTCTTGTTGACCGCCCGACTCGACACATTGATTTTTAGTGTAATATTAAATCTTACCGTAGTTGAGTGAGGGTCGCGGGGGCGGAGGGGAGGGCGAAGCGAGCGCTCGCTTTCTCAAATGTGCAATATAGAACGAGGACACTGGGCGCTCCTCGCTGCCAGCCTGTACACTACTGCTTGTTTATTTACTGAGAATATCTATAGAGTTGTTATTGTGACCATTATTAGTTAATTATACATTAAATTGCTGATTATTTGAAGGATAGGATTATCGGAATCGCTATCGATATAATTATACATATTTATATATATACTTATAAATAAAATGTAAATATTAGCTGGTAAATTAGTGTTAAATATAGAATTGGTTTATTTAACGTCATACAAAGGAAAAATCCCATAAATTATTATCGTATCGGGAGTTTATTTTACACTTCCGTTAAAAATCTCATAATGGTTTTTCGATTGTACCAGTGGAGTTTTATTTATTTATTTACACTCCTCTCTTCCATGCGTTCTTGTAATTAAACTTGAAAATAATAACTTCTGTTACATAAAGTAGTTGACATTTCTGTTTGATGCATTTAAAAATATGTGATATTATTATATTGTGGAATACATTTTGTCTGACTTCTACATAGTGTCTATTTGCGAATAGTTTAATCAATATTTGTGAAAGTAGAATTCAAATACATATAAATATTAATTAATTGCATATAATCATCATTTTATATATTTTTGAGTTTGCTATTTCTATTAGTACTTTGCTTATATTGGATGATTGTATTTATTATTTAATGAACTCTGTATGTGCCATTAAAATAAATAAATAATGAGCATTATTGAGTCAGACAAAATTAAATTTATAACCTGTTTTAAGGCAAATTTGATAGTTTTGTCCTCATGATTCCATGAAGATTAACTCGGAAATGTATTATAGTTTATACAAAAAAAAATCATTCTGTATACTAAAAAGTAAATGAAAGCTTGGTGCGATTCAGAAAATACCATTAAAACTTTTGATTTTTATACCAATAAGATTTTTCTATAGAATTCCTATCCATGTTTTACCTTGCTCAGTTATTTTGTTTTCAGTTCCCTTACCATTTCCAAACACAACCCGTCACCATCCCATGATGGTTTGTCTTTGGATAACACATAACACACATATTGTGTTAATATATATACAGTGTGTCCGGTCACGGACTAGCGATATTCTACGTACTTATTTTACAACAATTTTGTTACACAAATATACTACACACTGAGGTTTAATCCTCTTCACCTTTATGTGACAGCCATTTTGTTATTTTCTTGAAATATTAACTACGCGTTAAAAAAAATAAAAAGGGTAATAGGGGTTGTTTTTGCAGTAATTTACAATAATTTGCCGATTCGCGTAATTTTTTGATATTTATTTGGACTCAAATATTTTTTTTTAAAGTTACGTCGAGTATATGAACCCAATTTTTGGCAATATAAACGATAGACTATATTGTTGCCTTCCAAATGAGCCAATTTTTTATCTTAGAAAGACTAAAACTGAGAGATATGATATTTCTTGTACACACGTAGATAATATCTCAAGAAAAAAACAAAATGGCTGTCACACAGAGGGGAAGGGGATTAGACCTCAGTGTGTAGTGTATTTGTATATTGAAATAGTTGTTATATATGTACCTAGAATATCGCTAGTCAGTGATCGGATACTGTATGTATAACGGGTGTTTTTAAAACGCTCCCGAAAACGAAAACAGACGATAGTACTAACAATTCCTTTGATGATGGGACCGAAAGGAAATTGATCTCGAAAAAAAAAATATTTTTATAACATTTAATTAGCTTTATTCACGCTCTATCATGTTAGCAGCTAAATGAGACGATAATTTCATAAAAAAAAGTCATGAAAATACTTAAACATAAAACCAGCAGTGAAATTTCAAATACCTAACATCAGCTAATAAGGGGTCAATATACGCGCGGCCCGCAGCCCGCCGCTACCACAGCGAGGCGACACGAGTCGGCCGAGCGGCGTCAGCGCGTGTGTGAAAGGGAAGGGTAGAGAGCGAAGTACAGTAATTCCTAATGTATTCTTTCGTACGGAGCTAGATAAAAGAGATCAGCGTCCGCGCGTTTTTGACCCCATAATCAGCTGGTACCATTTTAATTTTCACTGCAGATTTAAGTTTTCAGTATTCTCATCGAATTTTTTATTAAATTATTGTTTCATTTAGCGGTACTAACATGATGAATCGTGAAAAAAGCTAATAAAACGTGATTAGATGATTTTTTTCATTGGGATGCATTTTCTTTTGGTCCCAAGTCCAAAGGTATCGTTGGTTTCAAAAATACACTATAGAATATAACACATGCTAGCAAATGATTGCTGATTTTATTGTTTTTCACAAATTAAAAGGAGTGACTGCATTTGTATACTAAGCAATACAGATTATAGTCGACCAAATCTAAGAAATACGTTTTGACAGCTGTCAGACTTATTGCACCAAGCATGCCAACCAAAAAATGGGAACGTACAATATTCGATTCTTGAAAAAATCGATATCGATTACGTAGAGTTGATAATCATTTGCAGTTTGGTTTGAATAAATTCAAAATAAATTTAAAACACAAGATTTATCAGTTTCTTTGTATTTGTTGTTACTGTTTATTTCAAGAAGCACAGTTATAAAAATTTGAGATTGAAACTAGATTAAAAATAAATTAATTCAATCACTTTCAGTACAAATTAATGTTTTTTTCAAAGCTATCCATAATAATTTGTTTTGTTTTTCTACCACTTTTCCCAATCATCTTTTGTGACGTGGGCACATGCTTCAACGAATATAGAAGAAACAGTCCAAAAAGTTAAGCCGAGTCACAAAATAAAAACAAATACATAAAATCACAAAATTACGCACAGTAAGTTCTCGAAACAGAAACAGAAACTTTTTATAGAGACTTAGATTATGAATAATATTGAAAGTCACTTTTTTAATTTCCTACTGGTTCGCAAAAAAAAAACCTCTGTCCTGGGAAGAACCAGCAAGAAACCCAACGAAACTAGTGTAAAAAAAGAGCTTACAATCATGAGTGTTACAATTTACAACACAAAACCAATTAGAAATAGCTTGGTAGCGATTACCTTTCCTAGGGTTTATTATCATCCATAAATTTCTTAATATTAAAATAACCCTTTTTATAGAAACTTAGTTTAACCTTTTGAGCGCCAAAGTCGCCTATACTTGACCAGCGCCTGCGAGCTCTGAGCGCCAACACCGTCTATAGTTGACAAAAAACCACGCCTACAAAAATATCAAATATAGATATTGGAAAATTATTACTGGTATTTTAATTCTACACTGCACATGTGAGTATAAAAAACAAGTCTTCTAGAGCCACAAGTACTAAGAAACATTAAACTAAAAAAAATGGATTTTTATCTAAGCAAATACTATGTCCAGCACGCCAAAGTCGTCTATGTTTGACCGCTAGTGTTGTAATACGTTAGGCATAGATTTATTGAAAACTATTCAAAATTAAACGCAAACGTGTTATTTTTTTAAATTATTATATATATTGATATTTGAATAAAACAAAAGGTAAGAAACATAAAAATGTAATCAGTTACATAAATAAAAGAAAATTTCATCAAACTAACTTCGCATAATAAGTCTAATATCTCAACTCTGGCGCATCCTTAGCGCGTCATTGATTATCAGTTCATTGGGTGCCGTGATCAGGATAGACGACACCCTGATGACGTCATTAACGAATAGCGGAAAAAGTAGTGCAGTGCAAAATGTACGATTCCTTAGAACTCATTCGCATTTTGGAAAGCGTGGATGATGATAAATTTTTTTTATTTTAATTCATTTATTTATTTTAATTCATTTTCTTTCTCAATCTAGGGTATTGACTGAAAACTCTATTATATTTGCTGACGACATTTCCATTCTTATTCCGCATGCAAAATACTAGAATTTAAATAATAAATTGAATCAAGTATTGAACCAGGTTACAAATTAGCTGACACATCACAACCTAGGGGTTATTTTAATAAAACCAAAATTACGCAATTCCGGCCAGTTCAAAAATCACCACTAAATATCGCTTTTATTTATAATAATATACCTATAGGAACCGTGAAAACTTCAACTTGTTAGGCCTGGAAATCGACTGCCATATAAACTGGAAAGCCCATATAAATAAAGTAAAAAATAGGCTATCAAAATTCACTTACGTATTACGAGAAATAAAGAAAACCACATATGTCCCCAGCGCTCTGTCAGCGTATTGCGCATACACATCTTCATAGCTGTCATACGGTGTCATGTTGTGGGGAAATAGTAAAGATGCACAGCAATTATTTATAATGCAAAAAAAAAAATATTGTAAGAATCTTGGCAAACATAAAAATTCCAGAAAGTTGTAACCCGCAGTTAAAATTTTTAATAACCTTCTAAATGACATAAAAAATTTAACGAGTACCTACTACATTATTTTTATCCAAATTAAAGTTATATTTAATTGAAAAATGTTTCTATACTTTAAATGAATATTTTGATACAAATATTATTTAATTGTGTGGACAACTTCCTATGCCTATCTAATTTAGTTTAATTTTTTTATTCAATTATTGTTTTTTACTTAATTTTATATAATAATTATTTATATAATAATTTTTTTACTTGACATCGTGATTATTAATTTAATAAAATTTACAGAATTTTAAAATAATATAATCTAATAATGTAATTTATTAATGCAATCTAATATTGTAGTTTAAAATTTTTAATATTTTTATAATTGCTGCGCCCAAACTGGGTTCAAATGCGGACTATTTTTT